AGTCAAGACGATCTTCCTTTTCTTTTGCCCTAAGCCCCAGTCATCCGTGGAGCCTTTTCATATCATAGCGAGGCCTCCTCTTTTTCGATGACTTAGGAGGGAAATTCTCTTCTCGCAATTAAGAGTCAGTGAATGACATCCCATTCTACGAGTTTACTTACGACTGGAGTAAGCATATAGTCAAAAAAGTCCAGAGAAGCTTTTCAAATAGGATTCGAACCTACGCCCGACTAGTCAGTTACCAGCCGACCGCTCTACCACTGAGCTTAAAATAAAAAAAGAGGTTTTCCGGTGATTAAGGTAAGGCATTGGGTCGAAACCACTGGTTTTTTCTTTTTTTTTTTTTAATGTTCCAAATGACAAATGTTATAATTTTTTTAAACGAAAAAAAGGTTAAATTAAAATTATTGAGACTTGCTCATTGCGTCAGTTTGGCGCTTCATGTGGACCATGTTATTACTGTGCGCGCCATATCATCGGCGCAAAACCCAACCCGATCAAAAGTCTTCGCCATTTTCGTCATCATTTGCATCGCCATAAACGTCTTCTTCTACTTCTTCAACCCACTTCGAACGACTCCACTTTCTCAAACCTATAAAATTCCTAGTTAGTTTGACTTGTCCTTGCGATTAATATTCCTCCGAGCAAATTACAAGCCCTTTCCGTTGCGATTAATCAGACGGCGGATAATGGGATGTTTTGCCAGCAAGAGTGCTGATTCCAAATCCAGCCGCCTCTCTAGATGGCGTGCAACTGGCATTGTAGCGTTACGCGACGGAAAATTGAAGGTATTTACCCTTTAAATTCAAAACTAAACATTGAATCCCCAAAATTCACTTTCTAGTTATGTTGTATGATTTTTGTGTTCGGATTTTGCAAATTATCTTTAAAATTGAAACTTTTATGTTGATAAACATAGGGAAGTTGTGCAGGAAAGTAGTTATGTGCGATTAAATGAAGTATTGTCAATCTAAAGTAATAATACAAACAACACATCATCCACCATTACCAAAAAATGGTAGTTTATGTGCTATTACATTCACACAGAAATTGGGTTTTGGGTTATGGGAAGTGAAATAAACAGAAAAAAAGCTAAATAAACAGGGGATTCTCTCTATTTTAATTACTGTTTGGTTGTCTGTCTTAGTGGAGGGGTTTGCTGATTATGATTTGGAACATGGATTCAAAGAATCAAACCATGGGGTATAATGTTTAATGTTTTAACTTGGTGTTATATGTGTGAAACAGTCATTTCCAGATGATGTTCTAGAGCTGGACAAATCTGTAAGGACACTTGATCTAACACACAACAAATTAGGTAATTATCTCGTTTTTTAACTAATCATTAAGTTCCTCAATAACATGTATTTGATTTTAATCAGACATTTTGTTTCCAATATACTCACCATATCTATCTTGTGGCTAATGCAGTTGATGTCCCAGAGCAGATCAGCAAACTAATCAATATGCAGAGGCTGGTATAAACTCAACATTTGCATCATTATATCTGTATTTTCTTATAATTTGGAATTTGTAAAAAGTATGTGAATCTTATTAGCTTTCTTTTAACATTTAAGATTTTAAGATCTGACATAGTTGCACCTTGTTTTCAGATTTTGGCAAATAATGTACTTGAGCGTCTTCCAATGAATCTTGGGAAACTCAAGTCTTTAAAATTTATCATACTCGATGGAAATAAACTTACCAAATTGCCAGATGAAGGTATTTTCCTTATTCACTAAAGCCAAATAGTTTTATAAATCAACCATGTCATTTATATATGTATGCATGTGTTGGAAATTTGGTTTCAAATGTCATATATCTTAATTCCTTTTTTGCTGATATTCTTAAAATCTTTTGGTGTTTTTACAAAATGTTTTATGTGTTCAGTGGGCCAATTGGTGAAACTTGAGCGGTTATCTATTTCTAGCAACCTGTTAGCCAGTCTTCCTGAAACCATTGGAAGCTTGAGGAATGTAAGTGAATGCATATATATATATATATATATATATATATATATATATATATATATATATATATATATATATATCAATCTTTTTAGGAATGTAATCTACTTTAATGTCATATTTCTGTTGTAAATTCATTACAATTATCAAAAAATGCAGTTGTTGCTACTAAACGTCTCGAATAATAAACTAAAGTCTCTTCCAGAATCTGTTGGGAGCTGCTTTTCTCTAGAAGAGCTACAAGCAAATGGTATTCTTTTTTTTATTTTTTAACTAAGTTTGCAAATATTATGTCTTTTAATTTATTAATTTCATGGTTTGTTTTTTGGCTCAGAAAATTCCATTGAAGAACTTCCCACTTCGGTTTGCAGTCTGATTCATCTGAAATCACTTTGCTTAGACCATAACAATTTGAAACAGGTAGCTTATAAGTGGGTCCCATCTCAAACTTAATGGGAAAATTAATATATTTTTTTTATTATATTGCAGATTCCTCCAAGTTTATTGAAAGAATGCAAGGTTCTGCAGAATATTTCATTGCATGGTAATCCCATATCTATGGATCAGTTCCAGCAGGTAAACTTCAACTTTCATTTTTCTGATTCTGTTCGGTTGGATGGAATGGAATAGCAAAAGAACGGAATGGAATGAATCATTACATTGCATGATCGTATTCTGTAACCACAAAAAAATGTTAAAATGTTTAATGAAATAGCATTTGGTGTTCAGATGGAAGGATTTGAAGAGTTTGAAGATAGAAGGAAAAAGAAATTCGACAAGCAAATAGATTCAAATGTGATGATCAGTTCTAAAGGTCTTGATGAGGGCGTTGACCTATGAACCATGGTCAATTGGCTTTGATTTGTTCTATTTGTGTTTGCTGTAAGTTATTATAATGAGAATGCTACTGTTGTTTATAAAAGTGTGGAGTCTAAGATGCTTAGTAAATATGAATATAACTTTGGATAAATTAATCAAATTTGTTGTAAATTATCTACGTGACTAATATCATATATATAGACATGTACATAGATTTAATATCAGAAATCAACCCAATGTCAACTTTACATTCATATTGCAGTTGTTCTCTCAATATTAAAATTATATATTCATGTAGATTGTAAATTCAGGATATACCATTATGGGACAATGACAACTAACAAAATCAACTCTCATTAGAGTTATATAAGCCGCTTTTTTTCTTTTTTCACTTGAGAGCAATACTCATATTTCTATGTTCACGGAATGTATGTGATCTTGGAGCATCCCAATCATCAACCTCATGTGCACTTTTTTCTTTGCCATGTTATCTTTTCATTAACTTTGAAAAACAAAATGCTACTAACTTATAACATCTGCAATAGGAGTTTTTTCATAGCTTTTTTGCTTTTTCAAACCAAAAAGCCCTTGAAAATTGAAAAAGTTACAAGGGGAGTTTTTTTTTTTTTTTTTTATCAAATCAAAGTTTTTTTCAATTTTCTTGTTAATTAACAGACTCTTAACATGAGTTTTTTCCATGACTGTGTGAGTCCTATATTTTTTCAACAACCAATTGTAACTAAATGACATATACAAACATCATAAAAAATATACTATGAAGTTATTTTATTATGGATTCTCTTAAATTTCTCTGATCATTGACCAATTTTTAATAGTTTTTATTTATTTATTTATTTATTTATTTTTTTTTTTTTATAAAACTAATGTGACTCATTTATCTGAAACATTTTATAAAGTCCACTCATCTAATTTGTTATTTTTATGCATAAGTAATATTAATAAAATTTAAAAATACATAACAATAATATTGCATATAAACAATATATAAATAAACTGCCACAAATGTTGAATATTATTAAATAAAAAGATGATAAATTTATTAGGTATATAAATGACTCCTAAACTAAAGGTTTTTATTATATCGAAAGTATGCAGTGAGGGATCTTTATATTATAGGTAGCCAGTCTACCTTATTTGATCCAAGCAATGCTCAAAGAGTCGATGATAACAACTATGATAACAACGATGACAATAAAGGGAGAGCCCTTTGAGTTTGATCTTTGACTTCATTCAATCATAAAGAACCCGATCATCAACTAATAGATAGAAATTCTTACACGAGGATCGTCAACCACATCGCTAATAAAAAGTACATAAGCTTACGCCTTCTTATTCTCATGTCTTAAGAGATCAAAATGATAAAAATATTATATGACCACTATGAATTTAATGTTTAAACTTATAGACCACTATGAATTTAATGTTTAAACTTATAGATTAGAAAAAAATAGTTACTCAAATAGTATGATAGCGCTCTAACTTTAAATATAATAAGACGAGTAAATGAAACATTATTGAATAAATGAGTTAATTGTGCAAAACATAAATCTAAAAAAAAACTATTTAGTAGAATAGAAGTGGTGTGTTATTTTCGAGTAAAAAACAATCCACTCCAACCGTAAAAAAAACACTTTTTGGGGTTGACTTTTAATATGAACCCCTTCAAAAAAGCTAGAACCGAAGATACTGTCATATGCATATTTTGAACAACATAGCCATTTTGTTGCATCGACATTCGACAACAATGCAATATGTTTAAGGACTTCCTTTATGTCGATGTGATTTTCAGTGTTTGCGAAGAAGATAACACCTCGTGAAAATACGTCATTTTCAATGATAAAAGAAATCATTAGTTTATTTTGATAGGATCTTGTGATCACAATATTGCAAAACATAAAACGATCATAAATAAGAAGTTGATCTAAATGATTTGTTTTATTCCTTTAAAGCAAAAGAAATATGATAAATGAAATGTAAGGAGCGTCATATCTTATTCCATTCTATGTTACAAAACAATGAACAGAAACAATAAGGTTTTGACTTTTAAATTTTTTTAAAGGGAAATCTTCCGAAAAGTCTCAATATTTTGGTCTAGTTCAGACAAAAGTTCCAAATTTTATTTTGTTAACAAAAAAAAAGTCTCGATTACTAGATAAAAAAATTCAAACAAACCATTTTTAACCGGTAAACTATTTTTTACCAGGTTACCTCTTCAAAAGTCCTATTATTTTGCTCAGTTTATGAAAAACTCCTAATTTTCTTTGTTTCAACTTTTGTTTTACCCTTTTACTAAAATTATGGAAATTTGTTGGTTGAAATTATGAATAGAAATAAATGTCGTTAAGCTTTATAAAACTAATGATTAAATACCTCTATCACCAATTATTTGCCATAAAACAACGATGTTAACATCATTTTCAACTCATCATCATCCATATAATCTATTTCTCATACAAATTTATGTTACAAATATTATAAGATATTCAAATTATCTGTTAAGCACCATAGTACAATCTACCTAAAAATAGGTTAAAGGAAAATCAATTGTTATGTTCATATCAGAAACTATTGACTGGTGACAAACCAATCAATACAATAGTAGGTTATGTGAGACTATAAAGATTCTAGAGAATAATATGAGTTTTTGTGACATCCCCAATTTTTGCGGCCAAATAAAACTTTTTTATTTATGTTTATTTAAAACATAATATTCTTTTGTTGCCCTAGAGCTTCGCTACTAACACTTGAAATTTCCTAAATTTGGGCTTCGGGTTGCTGGAAAAGTTTGAGAAAGTTTGGAGAGAAAATCATGTGAGAAACCAACAAAATTCATCCCATATATAGATTACAGGGAGGCGCGCTGCACCTTACGTGTCAGGCATCAGATGAAGCTGCGTCGAGTAGAGATAGGTGGGGGGGGGGGTGGTCTCCAACGTGCCACGTGGCGAATTTTTGTGGAGCCACGTCGCATTAACATGTAGAATTTCACTTCCTTCGAAAAATCATACCTTTCACATACGATCTCTATTTTCGACGTTCTTTATATCCCCGGTTTATATCGATGAGTACTACAACTTTCATTTAGACTTCGGTGGCTAATTTGCGTTCTATTATTATTTTACAGTCTATGAGGAATATAATGTAAAAGAGTTTGTGAAATTCATATCTCCTTCATACGAGCCCTGTTCTCATCGTTCTTTATATCAACAAATTCATATTTATGTGGACGCCAACTTTCGTTTAGATTGTTTTGGCTAAAATCCAACCGATCTCCATTTCACTTTTTAAGACACATATTGTTATATAAGGTTGAACGTAAAACTTCGAAAAATCATAAGTTTCTCATACGAAGACAGATTTTAACGTTCTTTATATCTACGAGGTCGTAATCACGATTACGACTTTCGTTTAGATTATTTATCCTAAATAATCTTTTATTTTTAAACGTTTATTTAGTCCACTTTATTAATTTTTAAAATATGTTTTTTATACAAATATTATATATCCATAACATTTGTCTAAACTTCAAGCACATAATATACATATAAATCACTTTTATATAAACACATATATATTTGAATAATTCTCTTTCATTCATTCATAAGAAGTTTTATAATTGTCAACCGACGTAAATATAGATTTTCTAAGAAATGCCTAACGAGAAACACAGACGTTACAATTTTATCCTTAAATCTTAAGCTATATGAACAATTCCTCTATGGATAAAACTTATATTCTTCACTATGGACGATGATGAGTTAAAATTGATGCTAACGTTGTTGTTTTGTGGCAAATAATCGGTTATAGAGGTCTTTAATCCTTAGGCTAGGGGGTATGGTCACTACATCCCCACTAAAAAATGTTGTCACATATGCTTCACGTCATCTTCATTACATGTTCAGTAATACACTAATTGAAAATTGTTACAACTCCACATTATTTATCTTTTTTTACATTAGATTAAACAATAATATTGTGACCGTTTAGACCATTTCAAAATCGAGCAATCCTATTGGGCGTAAGCATGCGTAGAGAGGTCCACTTCACATCACACCCACTTGATGCTGGGGCGGTATTCATTAGCGGACATGTCCGCCACGTAGGATTTCGTACGTAAGTTTGTATGCCATACCGGATAACCTTAGTTTTATGGAGTTTAATGCGTTTTTCTTATTCATAATTTCAACCAAGAAATTTATAGAATTTTAGTGAAAAGGTAAAAGAGTTAAAAAAAAATTAGGATTTTTTTTTTAAAATTGGCCAATGAATTTTTTTTTCTAGAACCCATTAAAAAATAGTTACCGATAAAAAAGACTGATTTAAATATTTTATCAGGTAATCAAAACTTTTTTGTTTACAAAATAAAATTTAAGATTTTTCGCCTAATCTAGACCAAAATGGAGATATTTATATATTTCTTTTTTTTAAAAAAAAAGTTAAATATTGTGTGTTTAAGCCGACAATCGATTGATCTACCCGGACCTTTGTGTCAATTCTATTTCTATTTTCTATCCATATCAATCTTTTATTTATTTATTTGTATTTGTATGTTTCCTATTGTTATTTTGTTGGTCTTTTGTTTTCGTATAATGTTCGTGTTTTTTGAGTTTTCTTAATTAGGGGTGTTATTCGGTTTGGTTTTTTGGTTTTCGGTTAAAACGGTTCGGTTTTATCAGTTTTTTTACATTTTAAATCTAACCATAACCAAACCAAATAAGGTTCTGTTTAATCGGTTACGGTTTATTCGGTTATGGTTTATTCGGTTCGGTTTAACAGTTAAACCGAATAAAATT